CCTAGTGACTGGTACACCATGTAATGCACAGCATATACAACTATGAGACCAGAAGAACTAGATGGTGCCTGGCTACCACTGTCAACCACTCAGAGGGGTATCTATGTAGGAGATCCTGGATAGAGAGGGAGAGGAATGTGGAACAAAACTCAAAATAATTTGGAAAAAAAAAGGGACCAGATTTGCTGGTCTGATAGTGCCTGGTGGAACCACTGAGACTATGACCCTTAGCTGCCCTTTAGGTCTGGAATTGAACCCATACCTGTGGCTTCCAGCCAAACAAAAGACAGGCATATGAGTTGAACATTTGCCTGAGGTAGATATACTCCCTGAAGAGAACAATCATGGGAGAAAGAAGGGCTATTTATGCACAGGAAGACAGTTCAGGGGGCAGGAGTGCATGGAGTGATGAGCACAGGGAAGAGGTAACTATTGGGAGGAAGTGGGAGGGGAGCTGTTGCATTGGGGTGAATTGTAGTCAATGTCATGAGACAAAGTGTATGTGAATTGTTGTATGGAAAGTGAATTTGCTCTGTAAATTTTCACCCAAATCACAATTAAAAAAAAAAAAAATTTGATTTTTAAAAGGTCCCAGTTATCTAGTTTCTCTTCCACCTCCTGTGCATTCTTGGTTATGCTTGACAGACTGTTTATGCTATAAATTAAGTTCCTAGATTTGCCCCTATTTTATCTTTGATGACTTTTATAGTTTTGATACCCAGAGTTTGACAAATTAATTCTGAGAAACTTGATAGCACTCTCCCTGGGGAACAGTGTGCTTAAGTTCCCAGATCGGACTGAAAACCCAGAAGTTTGCTAGATTATACCAACAACAGAACTGGATAACACAAATTATAAGTTGGAAGACATGGGTTTGGTTACAGCTCCATCACTATATAGCAAATGGTCACTTAACAAAAATGATGTTTCCTACTTATCTCACAGATGCCCTATGAAAATTAACTAGAGTACTATAAGGAAAACTACTTTCAAAACGTGCACCATGCTGTAGAGTAATGTTGTTAGCTGCCACCAAGTTGGCCCTTGACTCATGGCAATCCCATGCATTGGAACAAAATGCTGCCCTGTCCTGAACCATCCCCACGATTAACTGGGAGTTAGACCATTGTTTTCATTGGCTGATTTTCTAAAACTTGTTCAATATCATAGCAACACACATGCCCTCATTGACAGACTGGTAGTGGCTATACAAGAAGTGTACTGGCTTGGAATTGAGCCCAGTTTTCCAAACAGAAGGTGAGAATGCTATCACTGAACCATCATTGCCGCCTATAGAACAATAAAGAACACTAATATAATTTTAATATCAGTCTGTCTGGAGAGAAAATGCATCACCCCTTCTGCTCTGGGACTCACAAGTTCATCGCCAACATGGCAGGAGGAGCTTGGAATTCCTCTCTCTCTCTGCCCCTGTTTCATAAGGGCTTTATGATCACTCTTTTGCACAAGTGGTGAATAAAACGAGAAACAAAAGTTGTCTGTGGCATGTACATTAAAATGTCAATGCAAGTGTCTAATGATTTATGTGAGAACATTATTATGGAGATAATAACTAGCAATAGCAATATGTCAAAATATTTCAAGATGTATGAGTTTTAAGTACAAGCAACAGAACATACATGGAATGAAAAAAACAAAGTCAAGTGTGAAACAAAATCAATGCAATCTCTTTAACCTTTAAGCCAAATAATACTGCAGTATCTCTTAGCAGTATTTTGTTTTCTAAGATGTAAGCCTTTGTTTCTGGTGATGGGAGGCCCTGGGAAGCATTTGTTTGCTGATAATTGGCCCCAAATCAGAATGTTTGTTTGCATGCCTTTCAGGCAGTCTTCTGGTAGTTGGCTTCCTGCTTTCTTTTCAATTCTTATTGTAACTCCCTGTGATGGTGCACATCATGTTGCACTGGTGTGAGAAGCAGGTAGACAATTTGGAGCCCTAGTGGGCTGAGTTCATAGAAGTCAAATGCTCAATGGAACTGTCTCTAAATGAAAAATGTTCACCTGAAGATGATTTATAGGGTCACTGTGAGTCAGAATCTACTCAATGACGAGGGATGGCTTTTTATTTATTTTTTATTTTTTTGGAAGATAATTTGTTTGAATTTCAGGGCTGACCAACACTCAAAATATCCTGAGCAGAGGAATTCGCCTTTCCATTTCCAAGTCCAGTCTCCCATCAATGGGCAAGGCCCATCTTTGCTGAGGTATCCACACGTCTGGTAAGAAATTGCCCTTTAAATATCTTGCTCTGCCATGGAAAAAGCCAGCCAAGCCTGAGTTAGTTCAGCTTGTCCTGAATCAACTTCACTCTACTTCCAGGCCTCATTCCTTCTCTGCCTTCCTGCTTTGTCCATTTGCCTCAGTTTATTGCAGCCCTGACTCCAGTGTTGATACTTTGATGTAGCTGACAGTCCAGGCTTAAGGACTGGCCAACACATATTGGAATCTATTTGGCTTTGTCGAGGTACCCCCTTTTGAGTACTGCATACAAGTGGGGTTGGATAAGAAGGCCTGGAACTCTGAGAATATTTCCCCAGCTCCCTCCACTTAAATTCTGTTTCTAGTCAGTAAAGTTACATCATGTTCTTATCTGTATGACTACTGTTGATGTTATGTGCCATCGAGTCATCTCCAGCTCATAGTGACCCCTCCTTGGGTTTCCAAGGCGGTATTTCTATGGAAGAAGATCTCCCTTCCAAGGAGTGACTGGTGGGTTTGAACCTCCAAGCTTCTGGTTAGCAGTCAAGTGCCTTAGGCACTACTCTACCAGAGCTCCTATAGGGTTTTCAAGAGCTGATTTTTTTTTTTTTTTTTCTAAAGTAGATTGCCAGACTTTTCTTTGGAGGTGTCTCTGGGTTGACTTGAACCTCTAATCTTTTGGTTAACAGCCAAGTGCATTAACCATTTGCATCACCCAGGGACTCCATGGCTAGTATAGGGAATGTGGAAAAGCCTGTCCAAGTGGAGATGTCTCTCTTTCTCCTCTCCCTGCACCTAGTGCTGTGTATCTCATTAAACTAAGGCCTGTTTTCTTGGCCCAGTTTCCAGTGCTCCTGGAATTCTCAGGATAGAGACAGGTAGGCTTTTGTCTCTTGGGACAAAATTAACTAATCTTCAGGACTCTGAAGAATTTATTGTGAAACTGTATATTGATATCTTTTTAGATCCAGAAGTGCTTTCTTAATCATTCACATTGCAGTTCAAATATTTTCCTCTTCTTACATAAAAAAAGGAAAAAAAAAAATT